TCAATGAAACGCGTTATGTCATGTTATATCACGGACATGCCAGTTTTTGAATGAGAGCTTTCGTAGGGAAGGAGCACCGCGGTGGGCAAGCTTTCTTTCTTTTTTTTTGCAGGGGGTAGTCATCCCAGCCACCCAGGTGCTCCTACCCTACCTAGGCTCATTTGAGTAACTAAATTTCCTCAGCTGAAACCGCATATAAGAGCTAAGGTGGTCGGTTCCTATCATTCTCTGCGCATCCGATACAGTGCTAATATAACAAGGACTAACACGTTAGACTAAGTTCATTTTTTGATATACTAGCCTTCGGATGGGTGGCCTCCTCAACTACATTTCACCCAACCGAGGATATGCTGTTTTTTGGTCTGAGCATCAGGAGGAAAGTAACACCGGGACGGGTGACTCGATTGTATATGCAGCTCCTCACTATTGGATCAACGTAATGCATCTCCCTCATAACATTTTCTAACGAAAAGTAAGGACTGAGGACCGGCGTAAGTTGGGCGATCCGACTGGTACATAGAATAGCAGCAAGAACACAATGCGCGCTTTTCTCATACTCCTTTGCGAATGTAAAGTGAATTTGACCATGTTTCATTCGAGCAGTATACCATTGAACTCAAGATATCGAGATTAATTGAAAGTCGGACATGAAATACTTCTAGCAACTGCTTTAAGTGTGGGTACTCCCTCTATACTGCTGAGGCGCTGTTCTGCTGTCTAGCCTAAGTTCCTCTACCGAGTGAACTGCTGCTCCCAGAACTAGATGCAAGACTGATATTGGGGCCACACAACTGAAGATACATAGGCACACCTTCGTTCGGAAAACAACAAAATTCCTGCACGCCTTCAAACGTAGAATGGAATCGTCCATTAAGTTATCATTGAGTCATCCATTTCTTTTAATACTAAATTCTCTGCAAATCTCTCAGACTTCGAGCGGATATCCCTCTGAGCATGTGCCTGCCATGAACCTAACTACTCAAGAATGAAGCTGTTCTAGATTTCCAAAAGTTAGTACTGTGAAGTTCGACCAGTTGAATTCAACGGCAGACACGATCCTCACAAAACTCGGCGTCGAATCGACTCAGAACAGAGAAAATAATTAGGAAAGGCGTGCGTAGCTTTTAAATTCATGTCGAAAACTACTGTTTTCTATGCCATTAAAGTACATATGATGCTGATATACCTACTGGTGTTTGTCAATAATTGCATCTGTAGCCGCCAAGCTATAGCGAGGCCAGCGCGCAAAGCGGTCTTGTCGGCTGACATTGTGTGCTCTTAGCAAACATAATCACACAAAACAACGACAACCTAAGAAGATTTGGGAAAGTATTAGGAAGTGTCAGGAATTTCGTAGAAAAGTTCTGCGGCTTCATGTATAAACTATGTAACTGGTGCTGCAGCTAGTGAGAAACGTCCGGGAAAGGTCCAGGGGCGTTCCGCGGATGATCCTCGCTTCCAAAACGACCATCCACAATCTCGCTAAAAAGGCATAGAAAGAGCTCAGATTTACGGACACCAGTGACAGAGCAGGGCGAGGAGTCACCACGCAAAGAATTTGGCGTCGTGCAGGGCAGAGTTTGCAATTGATTTAACGTTGATTCTTTGGAAATGGAGAATCATTGGGTCACCGTATTTTGAATGCAAGCGCCGGTGAGAGTCGCGTAACGGTACAAGAAGATATAGGTTGCAAGAAGGTCAATAAAGACAATTTTTGCAGCAATTCCTGAGGGAGTAGAGGTTTTGGAAGTGGCGAAGAAGAACCTTACTCTACCCGAGAGGCCCTACTCTGTGAGGTCGAATAGCATTCTCAATCAGCGTCAGAACTTACCAACTGCCTGATTTCGTAGGCATGAATCGGACTTTGAGAAAGATAGTCCGTGTGCAGGCTTTTGCGAGGAAACAGATGTTCGACGGTTTGTTTCCAGCTTCGCCGTCGGTGTTTGCGCTTCGTTCATCTCTTCTAAATCTTCCAGAGTGCTCCCAGGAGTAAGAACTTCAAGATGAGGCTAAAATCGTTAAGTGTTCTTTGCAGTTTTTTCACAACAAAATAAGTTTATGGAAGAGACTGTTATTTGTCGAGTAATACAGAAGGTTGCAGTAGCAATTAGGTATGATCACGGAAAAAGTGTACGTGAAATGATCGCTGCTTTTGACGCAGATCACCTGTACACGAAATATAACGACAAATAGCCCGTTCGTAGATGGAATTCCGATCACTACGAGTTCAAAATTTTTTGCGAAAGGTAGTCATCTTCTAGTCGAAACGTGCGACAAGGAAAAGTCTATCCGAAACTCACAGGGAACACAGATGAGTTTGAGTAGATCAAATAGATCATTCTCAGTGAAGAATGTAACCCTTCTTTCTCAAAAAGGGGCATGAATTCCAGTGGAAAATAGAAGTAGAAGCTTCGAGCGCCTAATGCCACTTAGATTGACTGAAAGACAAAGTTGGGAGGCTTTTATCGCATTTACACAACCTACATGAAGATAGTCAATATCGTTCTCGCTACTGGTTTCGAACTTGTGATCAGTCGACACAGTTCCTCCAGGAGTAGGCGTCACACCGGATTGCAAGTCTTCGATAGCCGATCGAAGCTGTAAATACGTTTCTAAACTTTCAGACCTTATAAACACAGCACGTGGTTAATCGAAGATTACTCCTGAAGCATGCAAAATAAGCTAGCATAAGGACGCCTCACATCACACAACGAGATGACACCAACAAGTCGACCGGCCTTCGTCACGTATGCTCGTTTTAGGCCGAGTAAGGAGAACAATGAATGCACCTGTAACAAATGTATAAAGAACGAATTCGATTGCATCAAAATTAAGATGTTTTTAGCAGAAAGCTTCTTTTTGCATAACACATGCTCTAGGCTCTAGGGCAAACTAGTTATCCGACTTATGCTCTTCCATGAGGTAGCCTGACTCATAGTCAGTCTACATTCATGAAGTCTTCTGTTGGCCTCAAATGAAGATAGAAGGGAAACGATGTGGCTAGTGATTTCAAACTAGCAGAGAATGAACTTTATATCAAGTTGGTTGTTATACATTGTTGTTGAACACGCTACTCCACTTGTAGTAGCTAACGCTCATGCATTTCAACCCATCACTGCCTGCTTCAAGTCCCATTACATTTGTTTTTCCCCATAGGCTACAATTTTTCAACGCCACATCACAACTTTCTTTTACCAGTGTGAGCTAATGTAGTACATAGAGCTACTGATTATTGCTGGTCGCCCCCTTGCGGGATCAGTTCTATGCCCTTTGCTCTCAGCAGATGTTGTTCCTTCCGGTTGAAAGCAATTGAGCCACGTCCTATGGTGAAAACAGTGACACGTAGAATGAATTCCTCCATGAACCGTGCTCCCTTTTTCTTACAAGCATGTAATTGGCTCATCCCGCCTAATTCCTTTCACTGCAGCTGGATCATTTATCGTCACAACTTCATACTGCGAGCTATGAGATGGCACATGCCACCCCTATGCCATCCACTTTCTTCCACTCCAGCATAAAATTACCCCGGCTTAATCTATTTGACGCTCACCACTCTGACCATCACATGTTCGCCACCATAACTATCGCAAGTTTCTGTTTCTCTCGGATGATTCTCACATGGCGTGGGTTTCGCCTATTGCTGCTCGTCACCTAATTTAATGCACAACATTAACGCTTACACAATCGTACAGTAGTAGCTTGCTAAGTTGTTATGAAATCGGCTAGCTTTCGCTCATCATCATCTATCGCATGATGTTAATTGAAAGAGGCAAACCTTGAACAAACTAGTATTCTCAATCAGTTGAAATGGTGACGGATCGATCCGTACTCCTGTCAGATCAATTGTCTGCTCCAGTACATACTTCTCCCATTTCTCACGCTGAAATCATGCAGTGAGAGAAAAAAATAACAGGGTTGTTTAAGTATTCGTTGGTAACAATTTGGAAATACTACTACTCTTCATCCGCTTTACTTGACTGATCTCTCTATACATAAAGCGGTAACTTTGCGTGTCTGTTTGGACGCCCGATTGTGCCTCTTCCAAAATCACGTTGGCACGATTAAGAGTGTGAATGTTACGTGAGCGCGGTGAGGAAACAGTCATGAAATGGGAAGTCAACCTATATTGTTTATCTTGGTCCTCTAACAAGTCGTAGGTAAGCGGTAGTGGACATGGGGTGCACGCGAAACTGGACTCGAAACTGAAAAAAAACTGGTTCCGGGAAACCGCTGTTCATATTGATCATATTGATACATGGTGAATTCATTTGAGTTATGTACTATGCATCGCATCTACAAAATAAACGCACAGTGATCATATACATATAACCGTCTCACAAACTAATTATAGCTCGAAGACGCTTCGGCTGCTCATCGACGGTGGCACGCAGAGTTTCTTGAGACACTCCAGCTCGGGCTTTTTTCAATGATTTTTCAGGAGCAGCAACAGTAGTGCTTTTCGAGCGGAGGCTTTCCTCTCCAGTATGGACTATATATAGCGACCTATAACATTGTGGTCCGGGAAATCCGTAGGAGGGTCGGAAGTTGGGATAAAATCACGAATTCCCTCAGCTCCAGTCTTGATCTCTTCTCATTCGTGAGCGAGTGCACCGTAGTTTTCAAAACGTGTCCCCAGAGAAATCTTTAACCCTCAGCCATATCCACTCAGAAAAACCCTTGCCAAAGAGGTTCGGATTGAATTTTGTGCTTTTCTTGTCTAAAATTGCGATACCGTTTCGATAGTAGACGTTCCAGCCCAAACTATCTTGAAAGAGGGAAAGCTGCTACGAGAGGCGATCTGTTTCTTCCGTAGTGTGAAATACACGTATACAGGGTGGGCCAAAATTATGATTACAGCGCGCGCTGACGTTCATTGCAAATTTTTTCTATGTTCATAACAATTCATTGAATTTCTTCCATTTCACAAAGTAGCTTACGTTATTACCTTTCTATGATACTAAACTTTGGGTAGATTTTTAACATAATATAAGCGTAACTAGTCCGTGAATTAAACGTCGCTTTGCATTTACAAACACTTTTGGCACGGTGCATCTACAGACGAACCAGCGAAACAAGGCAGGTATTGCATTCAACCATAAGACGCTCTCGAGAGCTGGGAACAACTGCAGGTAGGAGTGTGAACCTAGAAGAGCTGCGGTTATATTTAGGGGAAGGGTTAAGGAGGCAGGGCAAAATTCTACATAGGAGCAAAATTCATTC